TTGTGTTTGGATTCCAGCCCTGCTGCTTGCAAACTGACCGGTGTGGGAAAATCATCCCCTCACGGTTGGAAAGAGCAGCAGCCGTCACTCTGGAAGGGCTGCCAGGTGACCAGTGTCCTAAAATGGCTGTGGCCATTTTCACAGATGCTGATCAATGCTGGGCAGGAGCTTCTGGAATAGGAAAGATGCCATGCTGCCCTTCAGGAGGGTCTTCAGTGTGAACTCTGGAAAGTCATTGGAGGCTTCTGGGGGTCTTCAGATGCTGCCAACTGTGTTTGTGGTCATAGTCATTCACAGCAAACCCAGCACCAGCTAGGGGAAGAGCAGGACCAAGACCAGCGCTGTATCCCTGGAGATGTCACATAAACACATTCAAAGCCACCAGGCCCCAGTTCAAGAGGACCAGAGAATGTAACTCCAAGTGTCTCATGAGGAAGCATCCAGAAGGATCCCTTAAAACAAACAGAAGGCGTGGGAATCAGGAACTGAAAATGGAGAGCTTGCTCTGTCCACAGGGATGTATTTCTACCCCAGTGACTCCACCCACCTTGCTGGGCTCCCAGGAGCATCACCAGCAAGAGTTATACTGGGACAGCAGGAGACTGAGCCATATTAAATTAGGGCCACACAGGCCCCAGCTCACTGGCATCCTGGGCACTGGACCTCAGGAGAGTAACCTCCCAGCTGTGGCTAGGATTGCACTTGGTCCCCATCTAAATGATTGACAGCCAGCGCAGCCCAGAGGAACACAACCTAAGTGGACACAGAAGATGGAGCAGAGGAGGCGAAGCCCTTTCTCTGTCCATCTGGCTACCAGATGCCCCTTTCACCTCCCCTGGGCTGTGGAAAGGTACCCTGAATAACCTGAGCTGGGCATTTGCTCTCACACCCTGGCCTGGGAAGCCAGGAAACAGACCAACATGAACCAAGCCCACTTGGTGGTGACGGGAGCCCTTAGTGGTGAATCCAGGGATAGCTGGTGGGTGCTGGGAGTCCCTACACCAGCTTAGCTCAGTCAGAGTTGCCTGTGTTGGATCTGCCTTCCTGCTTTGTGGGCCTAGCCTCCTGTAGTCAGGGGTGGACACCCACATTCCCAGACATCCTCTGCAGCAGCGTCTTCTTGCATTTCCTAGGTGGGGAAGCTGGGTCAAGGGCCGTTCCCAAGACACCCAGGGGGTCCTCCCATCAGATTTTTGAAGGTATGATTTAAGATAAAAGGGACCCTCTGACAGGTTTCCCGGTGACACCTACTTCTATGACGAGATAAGCACAGGAATCCTTAGGCCACACCTGGGAAACAGTTGACTGGGCACATTCTGTGTAGTGTGTCTCAACAATGAGAAAGAAACAAAACAAACACAACAAAAAACAGGTTCTAAATTAACACACCCTTAAAATTCAGAAGCCCACTCTGTACATTTAGAAATTCCACCACAAATTCCACCTTCCATCCTGATTTGAAGGACAAAATTATTTGTGTGTGTGTGTGTGTGTGTGTGTGTGTGTGTGTGTGTGTGTGTGTGTGTCCGTGTGCCCGTCCATGCCATGGTGCATGTGTGAAGGTCGGAAGACAACCTGTGGGAATCGGTTCTCTTCTTTCACCTCCGGCCTTTCTGGGCATTGTGGGCCCTGGGCAGTGAACTCAGGCTTCAGGTAAGCACCTTTATCTGCTAAGTCCTCTTGTAGGCCCCTCAGAGCACAATTCTAAGAGGTTTTTGTTTGCTTGTTTGTTTTTTAGTTTCTCAAGACAGGGTCTGTCTGTGTAGCCCTGGCTGTCCTGGGTCTCGCTCTGTAGACCAGGCTGAACTGGAACTCACAGAGATCTACCTGCCTCTGCCTCCTGAATCCTGGGATTAAAGGTATTTCGTCACCACCACCCCGCTAGTTTTGAGAGTTTTAACAAGTATTATCCCCACATTCATGATATGGAACATTCTAGTGACCTACAACCACCTTTTCCCCCATTAGTGGTCAGTCTCTCCCCTTGACTGTGGATTGGCTTTCTGTCTTGTCCTTTCCTAAACTTGACCCTGAATTTTAAAAGAAATAATGAAGCCAGCTATGACAGTCTAGGCCTGTAATCTCAGCACATGATAAACTGAGGCAGGAGGATTGCCTCAAAAACACAGCCAGCCTAGGCTTCATAGCTATTTCTGGGATGGCCAGGGCTACATAGAGAGACCTTGTCTTAAAACAATAACAACAACAATAAATAAGGAAATAGATGAATAAATAAATAAATAACAGGACACTAAGCTGGGAGGGAGATTTTGTGGGGGTTCTAGAGGGAGTTGAAGGGAGGTAGTGGTAGATGGACATGATGAACACAACTGTATGGAACTGGGGCTGGAGGGATGTCCCAGTGGTTAAGAAGGTGTACTGCTCTGCCAGAGGGCCGGAGGTCCCTTTCCAGCACCCACATTGGGCAGCCACAACCAGCTCCAAAGGCATATCACACCTCCGGCCTTTCTGGGCATCTGTGTTTAGCAGCACATTCCCACACACAGACAGACACACCACATACACATAATTTTAAAAAATAGTAAAGAACTTTCAAAGAATAAAAAAAAATGCTGTTTTTCCCCCAAATCAATAGACCCCAAGCCAAGTCCTTCTGGCCCTCCTGGCACCTGTGTGGGCCCTAAGAAAACAGCAGAGGCCACAGGAGTCCTGCTCACTGATGCCCATACCACTCACTCGGTGAGATGTCAGTCTAGAAACACGGTCTTAGCACCACACAGGGCACCGGAAATTCTGGGGACCAGATCTGCGTCCAGAAGCTACAGAAGGCGGGCACCCCCTCCTCTCTCACCTGGACAGTCTGTAAAGTGGCAACAGCGCCCCCTGCTGGCAAAATAGCTCTTTTCCCCCCTATTCTCCTTTTTACTCTCTGGGGTACCCGCCAAAACCTAGGAAAGGTTATCCAGATCGCCAGGGCACACCCCCTCATTCGCTGTCTCTGTAAGACTCAGTTTCCTTCAGGACTCACCCCTCACTTCCAGATCATTGCTGAACTATGAAAGTCCAGTTATAACTGACTCTCGTTCTCTGTGTGAACAACCCAGGCTCTTGTTCTGTATATGAAGAAAGGTCTGAGCACTCTACGCCCATTCTTCCACACGACCCACAAGACAAGCCCAGAAGCAGGCTGACGCCAGCTAGTCCAGAGTTCATCATGTGGCCACCTGTGGATCTGCTTTCACCCCCCACCCCCCAAGCCCTGAGACAGGCCACCCTGCCTGTCACACACAAGGCTCCACCTTCACCTCTCATTGATGTCAACACTCACTTTTCAGAGTCCGATTTCTCATCTATTCAGAGGTGGGAGTAAAACCCACACCACGGGAAAGAACGTTCTTATGGGGACCACCGGGAACCCTACAGACTCTGAGCACTCCAATACCAACATTGCGAACTCTTCCAGGTATCTCCGAGAAGGGAGCCGAATGGAGTGGGATACTATCACCTGTATCCCACTCTCCAGCCCAATTTAGGGGACTCCTCAGTGAAACCTCTGCCAGCCTCCCCGACACCCCACATTTATCATGGACATTAAAACGAAAGTGGCAGGAGAAGGCAATTAAGATTAATAGTCTGTGCTGTCGATTGAGAATCACAAGGGGGAAGTAATTAGATTTTACAGGAGGCACCGCTCTCTAAACCAAGCCTCACAGCGTGGGAGTCCCCGGTCCAGAGACCCTTCGATGATGTCTTTTTGTAAAGGCTTTCCTGGTGACATTCTCCCAGCGCTCCGTCATTAACGCCAGTCACTGATGGCGTCTGAATGTGGCGTGTTCCTCATTGAGATTCATCAGACCTGCCATCTCTCTGCTGTCCCGCCCCTGCAGACAGACCTCCCATCACCACGGAGCGAGGCCAGTACCTCTTTCCCCAAACCAGCCTCCCGGGGGCCCCACACCCAGGAGTTGGGGGATTGAAGGCATAATGAGAGAGGATAAGGGCTGAGCCAAAGCCCCCTGCGAAGACCCTTTCTTCCAGGCCGGGGAATTCTCTGCAGGCTGCCTCCTTTCTTTGCACGAGAGGCTCATGGAGAGCCCCCTATTCTCCTCCCACCTGACCCGTCGCCAGCAGCGTCCACCGTTGCTCCTAGCTGGCCCCCTCCTCACCGGCAGGCAGCTGTCCCCGGCGCGCAGACACAGGGGCCTGATCACCGACACAAGAGGGGTCCCACGGCCTGCCCTGCCTCTGCATGTTGGCTAGCCCACCCTCCTCGAAAGTCGGAGCCCCAGTGACGCTCGCCTTGGGGAGACCACGCGCGAGGCTGGCAGGGGACGCGCAGAGAGCGACTGGCAGCACAGTGGAGGGCGAAACTGGGGCTGAAGCGCCACCTAGTGCGCTCCCACGACGTCTCCACTGTACAGGGCAAATATCCAGGAAAAGGGGACCTAGGTCTGGGACCGGGAGAACGTGGAAGGGTCGGATCTGAGATGGCAAGCTAAGGGAAAGGGCCCAAGACTCAAACTGGGGCCCAAGGAGGCAGAGCTCTACGCGCCTTGCAGTCTCCAGTGACCGTTCCAAGCGCATCCCTCTGAGAGCCCAGGGCCGGGAGACCTCAGTAATTAATAGCAAAAATTAAAACAGTTTATTCAATAAACACCAGGATGTTACACACTGAGCACTTGCTCCCCGGGACGGGGTCGCAAAGGGGAGTGGGGGCTCCTCCTCCTGCAGATCTGGCCGGCCTGGGCGGGGTCACTGGGCTGGGCCTGGGTGGGTGCGTGCGGGGGGCGGAGACTTGATGCAATTAGGAGGAGAAATGCTCTGATGCCACGGTCACCTACCCGCGGGCTCGCGGGACGAGACGTATATAAGGCAGCGTGCCCAGAGACACAGAGCCGTCGGAGCAGCAGCGCTGCGCGCCCCGCGCCGCAAGCGCTCGGCTGCCTTGTTGGCTTCTGCCGCTCTGTGCCTGCCTTTCGCGTCCCTACTACATCGCAGTCTCCGCGCCACCTTTATAGCCGCGCCTCACGAATTCTCCCGAGGTGCCATGTGGAGAACGCAGAACGGACGTGCGGTGGCCCGAGCCCTGGTGCTGGCCACTCTGTGGTTGGCCGTGGCTGGGCGTCCCCTGGTTCGGCGATCCCTGGCTCTGTCTGATGAAGAGCCACTCATTCTCTACGGCTGGGGCAAGAGCACCCGCCTGCAGCACCTGTACGCTGCTGGTCCCCACATCTCCAACTGCTTCCTGAATATCCGGAATGACGGCTCCGTGGACTGCGAGGACGAACAAAACGAACGAAGTGAGTGTCTGCCAGCGCGTCCCCTCGGGTCCCTTACGTCCCCAGGAGCTCGCGGGCGTGCTACCAAAGCCTTCACAAATCCCCTGGACTCTCAGACTGGGTCTGGGGAGGGGCGAAGCAGTGTGGCTCCGCCGTTACCCACGTGTTGCTGGGTCCCGGCTGCAGCTTCTTCCTTCTCCTGCTCGCAGGTTTGCTAGAGTTCCGCGCGGTCGCTCTGAAGACGATTGCCATCAAGGACGTCAGCAGCGTGCGGTACCTCTGCATGAGCGCTGACGGCAAGATACGGGGGCTGGTGAGTGCCCTCCACGCGGAGGGAAGCTCGAGGCCGCGCTGGGTCCCTGTTGGTTGGGTCTTTTCAAACTTCGAGGGCGAGGTAGCTAGTGCTAGTGAAGCTAATGTTACCCCCGCCCCCCCACTCCACCCCCGCCCTCCGCGCGCGCGCGCGGAAAGTGATGGCCCCAGGCTGTAGCGGGGCAATGAGGAGGCCAGCGGAGCATGTCTAATCCTCCCAAAGGCTGGCTCGGCTGGCTGCTGAGTCCCATTCAGCTTTCGGCCCCTTTGATATTGAACAGGAAAACCCACCTCCGCCCTTTTCATCTCCAGTCTTTGCGTGTGTGGTCCTCGATTTCCTTTCTCTCCCTCAAGTAAAAGAAAAAGAAGAAGAAAGGAAGTGTCTTTTTCAGTCAACGTCTATGTCCTAGGTACACAGAGTGATGTAGGACTAGGGTACTTTAGAACGTCCTTGAGGGGCTCACCTGCTCGGGACCTGGGGGAATGGGGGTGGGGAGGGCTGGCCAGGTCCAGGTAACCCCTGAATCCGGGAGGGTGGAAGTATGAATGCTAGGGCTCTGTGGGAACAAAGACTGCGAGTTCAAAGAAGCCTTCAGCCGTCCCTCTGGCAGTACAAGAGGAGGCCGTGTGAGGTCCCTTGGCCAAGGCCTCCCATCCAGCAGCCCTGGGCTCCTGGGAGGAGCAGGGACTCAGGGGAGAAGGTCCCCTGTGGGGAACGATGGCTACCAGGCTCAAAGTTTTTGTTGTTCTTTAAGAGTCTCAAAATTGTTTTGTGGCTCTGAGGTCTATTTATCTACACGAAAAGATCACAAAGAAAAAAAAAGGGGTCTGCAGAGAAGGGAGGGGTCTGCAGAGGAACCGGTTTACAAAGTAGGGGGTCCGATGCCTGTCTGAAAGCTGATACCGCAGGCCTGGACCAATCTCCCACCAGTACCTTCCTGAGATATCTATTTGTGGCAAGGGTGCTGGGAGGGAGGTTCGACCCCCATTCTACCCTAATCAAAATGGGGTGGGGAGGCCCATGGGAGCTTTGTCCCTCAATCCCAGTGCTGCCCCCGATCTATTGGGGCATAGTCCATCACAAATTCTCCCTGACCTCTCTTTTTAAATAGAAGCCCTACTATCTATCGTTCCTATATACAGAAAGGTTGACCAATTCTCCCTAAAAAATTTCTCCAAGAGAAATACATCCTGTGCTTATCTACATTTCACATTTTCCAGGGAACACAGCCCCTGCTGCCTGGCGGCTCTGTCTCCGTGCCATCAGCCAGGGCAGGAGCCAGTGGGTTCTTGGAATTAGCCTGTTATCAGAGCCTTATCTGCCACGGCTCTTCTACCTTGCAGTTCAGCGACCTCGGCAGCCTCAGGAGCAACAGCTTGTGTTTACTGAACCATCCAGGCTCCCCAAAGGGATGTGGCACCAGTTTGGGAGACTGACACTGGTCCCTCAATCCTGGGGACTAGGAATGTTCGATATTGAGGATGAGGACCAGGGACAGCTTCCTGCAGCACACATTTCCGGCCACCCACAGGGTCCGGGCTTGAGCCTAGGTGTGGGGGAGGGGCCGCGGATTATCAGGCAGATCCTGGCAAGCTAGCTGCCTGTGAGGGGGGCTTCTCTACTCACAATAGTAGGAGATTCAACCACCTCAGCATTAGAAAAGCTTCCTGTGCTGCAGGTCTAGACAGGAACTCTCGCTTTATCCCCGGGTGCTCAGACAAAGCTGCAGTTACTAACCCCACCCCCACCCCCCAAAAAAACTAAACTGGGAACAGAGTTCGCAAAGCTCACAAATAACGACCAGACTTTAACGTCAGTAGTTAAAAGCCAGTGGCTTCATGAGTATTGCTCAGCCTGAGACTGGGATGGATAATTGGTACACATCTGCCAGCTCAACCCTCCGGAAGTTGAGGTAGGAGGATTGCTGTGAGGTTAAGACCCCAGTCTCAAAACATACCAGGGCTGGAGAATGGAGCTCAGCTGGTGGGGTGGTTGCCTAGCATGCTCGAAACCCTGGGCTCAATTGAGCACTGCATAATTCGAGCACAGTGGTGCTCAGTAGTCATCCCAACACTTGGGAAGTGAAGGCAGGAGTATCGGGAGTTCAAGGTCAGCCTAGGGGACGTGAGACACTCAAAACAGAAATCCAGGCCTGGCATGGGTATGGATGCCTTTAATCCCTGTACGCAGGAGGCAGAAGCAGGTGAATCTTTGAGTTCACCTAGTCTACATAATGAGTTCCAGGCCAGCCAGGGCTACCTGTAGTAAGACTCTGTCTCAAGAGAAAGTACTGGAATAAGCTAACAGGGACAGTCTCGTGTAACCTGGGCTGGCCTTGAACTGACCACTTGCCTCTGCCTCCCGAGTCCTGGGCTTAGAGGTGAGCACCACCTTGCTTGACTTTCTATGTGTTTAAGGCAGTTGATAGGAAAGCACACTGGTGGCAGTGGGACCGGGACACCTCAGCGCTCATGCTCACAGCTGCTTGTTTCTGTCTCCAAAGATTCGTTACTCTGCAGAAGACTGCACCTTCACGGAGGAACTGGACTGTTTAGGCTACAACCAGTACAAATCCCCGAAGCACCACCTCCATATCATCCTCATCAGGTCCAAATACAGGCAAGAGCTCCAGAACAAAGGACCCTCAAAATTTATCCCCATGTTCCCCCGGTCCTTCCTGGAAGCCAGGGACCAGCTGGAGTCTAAACTGTTTTCTCTGCCCCTGGATCCCGACAGCATGGATCCGTTCGGGATGGTGGAGGACATGGAGATGAAGAGTCCCAGCTTCCAGAAGTGACGCAGTTCTCACAGGATGAAGAAAACCCCAGTGTCCCACGAACTTCCCCTTTAGGAAGATGCGCTAGAGGCTGTACATATTCTAAGTCTCACATTGACCGTGTGTGGTTTTAGTGGCTAGACTTGATCATGAACCTAAATTGACCACCTGCCTGGCTGCCATCTGGGCTGACTTAGTGTGGCTGCTGACCTGTGGCTAGGTTACTCCAGCTCTGTTTGAATACCTCTACTAATGGGGAACTCACTCCTGTGAAACATTATTATTGAGCCAAATCTATGTAATTTGGACATTTCCAGCAGGGCAGCCAGAAGGTGCGAAGTCATTTAAAATCCATGTGCAGGAGGTGGGCTCTGAAGTGTGTGTTGACTGACTGGACCTTGTGGGGTCTCAACTTGTCCCCAAGTGCCCCTGGCTAGAACTGACTGGGATCACAAACTTGGAACAAAGGGCAGCCAGGAAAACCTTGGGAGCCTTGCAGGGTGGTTTGGGGATTAAGAATTCCAGCTGACCACTTAATTGCCCTTTCCCCCACTTCTAGATGTCAGATGGAAGTGACCCTCAGCCAGGCTCAGGCATGGACTCAGCTGCGTGGGTAGTAAAGCTGCCATTTGTGCCCCAGCAGCTTAACTTGGTCATGTGCCTCCGAATTTCCAGGGCCTGGATCTGCCCACTCACTCCCCTTCTCAGAGCTCACCTGGGCTCTCCAAGCCCAGAGCACGGAGCTCATGGGCCATCCACTTGTGCCCTCCTGCCCCCAGCTCCTGGCTCTTACCCCTGGTCACCAAGCATTGTGTGGCTCAGTGTGACCTCCGCTGCCTGTGTCAACCTGCACCCCTCATTTGCAAATGAACAACAAGATTAGGAAGCCCTAAATTTTCCAGCGCCTGCAGGGGGGGGATGTGGAGCCTTTTCCACAGCACTTACTTGGCAGCGTGATATTTATAAGTAATTTATTTTGTATACATCTCTTATTTTCTTACTTTATTTATGCCCCAGATCGTATTTATGTACGTGACATTTGTTTTCTACATTAAAAAGGAGTTGGTTTGTATCAGAAGTGTGCTGTTCCAAGTGGGATGCAAATGAGGCATTGAAGAGCCACAGACGGGGTGACAGCCCTGTCTAGACAGGGGGCCTGGTGCCTTTGGTGGCAATGGGTGGCTCCCTTTCTGGCTTCTCAGACCCCTCATACCCAACCACCAGGTCAGACCAGGACGACATAATATCGTTAAGTCAGAAAGCCCTCACCATCGGCTTCTGTTACTGGGGGACACACTGGTTGGTGGCGTCGGGGAGGCTTGTTGAAAAATTACATCCCCTTTTATTTTTTGGTCTTTATGGGAAAAAGTTTCTCTATTATACAGCTCTGGCTGTCCTGGGACTCGATAAGTAGATCAGGCTGGCCTCGAACTCACAGAAATCCACCTGCCTTTGCCTCCCTAGTACTGGAATTAGAGGCGTGTGCCACCATACCCAGCTAAAATATCTATATCTGTGTGTGTGTGTGTGTGTGTGTGTGTGTGTGTGTGTGTGTGTTTATGTCTTGGAGAGTGAGGATGTCACCAGAATCCTGATTCTTTATGTTCAGTATCAAGGGCAGAGGGAACCTGGCATTACGCCTAAGTCCTGATGCCTGTCCTGTCTGCTGTTAACAAATGGATCAAGGAAGCAGGGCAGGGTGATGATGGAGACGGCCATATGGCCATGTGCACTCAGGTGGGCGGGTTCAAGAACAGTGAGAGAGTCAATTCTGATTGCTGGAGGAGGGGCAGGAGCAGGGTGGCCCTGAGGGAGCAGCTGAGGGCCTTTGCCAGTCCTTGTCCCCTAGGGACTCTGAGAGAAGCAGAGGTGAGTGGCGTCCCCAAGGGAAACAAAGGGCTCAGACCTTCAGCCCCTCTGATCACTGGAGTCACCCCCAGCTCTGATTTACCTCTTCTGGATTAGGAACTGACTCTAGAAAAGCTTCCAGGGACCAGGAGAAAGCAGGGATGGGGAAGGGCTGAGTGGCCAGGGAATTGGAATGGAAAGGGGCCTGGCTGTGACACTGCTGAGGTATGTATTTTGTCCTGGTCCCCATTTCCTGCCAGACAGCTTCTGACATCCCGGGAATCTTGGAGAAGATGCGTTTTTTGGTATGCTAATAGACTTCCTGAGCTGGAATCCCTCACCCTCACCCTGGATGAGGCCCAGCCATTCCGACATCGGGGAGGCTGAGGGACTGATGTTTGACACCAAGGCGGGTGATCCGACCCATTATGCCTATTTCATGAAGTCTCCATAGCCATCTTTAGCACTGGGGTCAGAGAAGCTTCTGGAAGGTTCTGAACTTGTAGCTCAGGCAGCACCTGGGAGGTCTGGGAAGCACAGAACCTTCTCTCCACCCTGGCTCCCTGCATCTGTGTCCTTTATAATAAACAGTCTGAGCATGGGTGGCCCACACCTCTAATCCTAGCCCTTGGGAGGCAGATACAAGCAGATCTCTGTGAGTTTGCGGCCAGCCTGGTCTACAGAGTGAGCTCCAGGAGAGCCAGAGATACATATTGAGACCCTGTCTCAAAAAAAAAAAAAAATCAAAATAAGAGAGCTGGAGAGATGGCTCAAGAGGTTAAGAGCACTGGCTGTCCTTCCAGAGGTCCTGAGTTCTATTCCCAGCAACCGCATGGTGGCTCACAACCATCTATAATGAGATCTGGTGCCCTCTTCTGGGGAGTAGGTATACATGCAGGCAGAATACTATACATAATAAATAAGTAAAACTTAAAAAAAAAATCAAAATAAATACATAGTCTGCTGGTTGATAGATCAAATTAGTGGAAACCCAGGAAGAGGGGTCATGGTTGGGCACCGAACTTGTAGTCAGTGGGGCCGAAGCCTAGTTGAGTTGCGGGTGGAGAGCCTCACCAGTGGGATCTGCTGCTGCCGCCCTGGGCAGGTGTGGCAGAACTGATGTGGAGGGGGTGTCCCTGTGGCAGACACCTGGTAGAAGTGAGAGACCATGGAAGGGATCTGCATTGTAAATAGTCATTATGGAAACTGGGGCTATGTTTTTTTCTTCCTCAGACTTGGACTCCCTTCCCCCACAGCGAAGGCTGTGTGATAGCGATTTGGGCGGTGAGAGTCTCTGCAGGGTGTCAGTAACCAGCATTGCCTGTTGTGTCTGTCACACCTTCCACCTGGTGCTTTTGCTTTTGTTTTTTCAAAACAGGGTCTCTCTGTGTCATCCTGGCTGTTCTGGAGCTAGCTCTGTAGGCCAGGCTGGCCTTAAACTCACAGAGATCTGCCTGCTTCTGCATCCTGAGTGCTGGGATTAAAGACATGCTTGACCACCACCCAGCAACTTGGTGTTTTTTTTTTTTACAGAGGTTTTCCACATTTCCATTTGTTTCAAGGGATTTCATCATTGCTTGTCAAGCACTTCTGCTGTGTATGCTCATACTCCTTGGCTTGTGATTTGGTGTTTATTGTTGTTCTGAGGCAAGGTCTCACTATTATTTTATGTATACGTATGTTTTGTCTAGGTATATATCAGCACACCACATGCACACAGTGCCCATGGAAGCCAGAAAAGGGTATAGGATCCCCTAGAGGTATAGAGAGTTGAGAGCCATCCTGTGAGTCCTGAGATTGGACCTGGGTCCCCTGCAAGAGCAGCAAGTGTTCTTGATCACTGAACCATCTCTTTTGGCTACATTTAAACTTTTTAAGTTCATGCTAGTGACGGGGCCTAGGGTCTTGGGCAATGGTCGGGCTTCTTTTCAGAGGGTCTCCAGTCCTCAGACTGGCCTCCAATTCTCTAGTCTTCTGCTTCACCTAGGCACTGGGATGACAGCCAGAGGCCTGGGATGACAGACAGGGGCCTTGCTACGCAGCTTCAGGGATGTGCCTTGTAGAGACTGATTTACATGGACTCAGGCTGCATACTACATAATGTTAGCTTGATGAGAAGGTAACGTTTATGTTTAAAAAAACAAAATCTTGAGGCTGCAGAGATGGCTCATCAGTTAAGAACACTGGCTTCTCTTGCAGAGGACCCAGGTTCCATTCCCAGCACCCACACGGCGGGTCACAATGGCCTGGAACTCCAGTTCCAGGAGATCCAAGGCCTTTGGCTCCTTTGACCACCTGCACAAGTGTGCATACAACCATATGCAGGCACACAAATACATACAATTAATAAAAAGCAAATCCAGGGCCGGGCGGTGGTGGCGCACGCCTTTAATCCCAGCACTCGGGAGGCAGAGCCAGGCGGATCTCTGTGAGTTCGAGGCCAGCCTGGGCTACCAAGTGAGTTCCAGGAAAAGGCGCAAAGCTACACAGAGAAACCCTGTCTCAAAAAACAAAACAAAACAACAAAAAAAAAAAGCAAATCCAATAAATAAAAAATTTTGTGGTGGTGTTGGGGAATCAAACCCAGGACCTCATGAACAAGTGGCAAGAGCTTTGCCACTGAGCTACGGTCCCCACCTAAAAGAGCAAAATGGCACCTGTCAGCAACACCCAGGGAAGTATTTGCAGGCTGTGGAGCAAGAGCGGGGAGCATCCTCACCTCGGCTGAAGTGGAGGGCTGAGGGGCGGAGGATACGGTTGGTCTCCATACATATGAGTCCGTCTGTAAGTAACTGACAAAGAACCCCAGACACAGAGCTGCGTGTTGTTTTTGTTTGGAGACAGGGTTTCTCTGTGTAGTCCTGGCTGTCCTGGAACTCACTTGTGTACACTAGGCTGGGCTCAAACTCACAGAGATGCTCCCGCCTCCCTCCATGCACCGCCATTCCTGGTGATGTGTGAGTTTTTGATGTTGGGCTGGAGATAGAAGCCAGAGCCTCACGAGCCTGTCCATGCTCATCATTGAACTGTTAGCTCCAGCCCCTTCCCCAGACATGTTCTCTTCACACCTCGCTCCTGGAGGATGTTGCAATGTCTGGTGGCCCTGCATCCGCCACCCCCCTCGGGGTTCCCGTACGACCATGGGGAGCATCACCCCTCGACCTGCAGTGTAT